GCTGGTACAGCCAGCAGCTCCGGGTTGGTCTCATCTTGAGGCTGGGTTGTTTGGTAAGAGTGCTGAAGAGTGTGAGCCATGAGTGTGTAGTGGTTTGTTTCCCTCTCTGGGCCTCAGTTTCCCAGTGGTGCTGGTAGCAGTAGCAGCTTGCTCCCTGTGCAGTGTTGGGAGAGACCTGCTATTGATAAGCATGAGAGCCAGACAGAGAGGACACGTGCTGTTCTGCTCACTTAGAAAAAAATCCTCTACGCTGGTCTGTGTGAAGAGAAGCAATTCTCATCTCAGTCTTGTGTGAGGATTCTTTATTAACTATCATGAGATTAAGGCTTATTTAAATAAGTCTTGTTGTGTGTGCTGGATTATTTGGATGTGCAGCCCAACTAGGAAAGGAAGATTTAAGAAAGACTGTTTTGGTACAAATAATCTTATCAAGGCTGTTCCCACATACCAGTCAAGCACTTTAGATAAATTAGACCTGTTAAAATTTCACTTGTGATAAATAACTTCAGGATATCAATACTGAAACTAAACTGAAACTTATTTTTGCATTGGGATTTTTTTGTTTCGTCCACTGAGAAATTAAACTGAAATAAACCCAAAGCCACCAAGCGGCAAACCAAAGGCTGTGGTGTCTGACCACAGTGCTTTGACTGTTGCAGCAGCCTGGGGGACAGCAGAGCCTGGTGGCTGGGCCTGTGCTCCCACAGCACCCTTGTGTTCCTGCTCCTTATCTCTGCATGTGCAGCTGGTTTCACACCAGTCCTGCTGCCCACTCGAGCTTCCGGCACCCACAGGCCAAGGAGGCCTTGGAAGTAATATCAATATGAAGGCTTTGGACTAGGAGTCACTTTGATACTCAGTTTCCCGTTGTTACTTCCAATGCCCTGTCTCACTCAGTTTATATTTTTGGGGTGTGGGTTGGTGCTTTTTCCTGTTTTTTACCTTTAGGCCCCCCATGTTTATTTGCAGAGTCTGCAGCAGTGCTGTGACTTCCTGCTGCTCTGAGCTCCCAGTGTTTCCTTCCTTTCACTGCACCTCAGTGTAGTTCTTCAGCATCAACAGTCTTGATTATTTTCTTTCTTGTGCTGCTCATGTTCTCACCCCCAGACTCACGGAATGGTCAGTTGGAAAGGACCTCTGGAGGGCTTGGTCATCAGGTCACCTTGGACATGAAGCAGGACTCTTGCCAGCACTGGACTGAGTCAGTTGTAGCATCATCCAGCTCAGTCCAAGACCTTTAAGACCTACTAACCTGAAGGTGAAAATAGAAAGTGTGTGGTCTGGGACTTTTGACCTTTAATGCTGAGTGACACAAATACTCCTGAGGAACTTTTCCTTACTGGTTTCACCACCTGGATAACAAGGCTTATGACCTGCACTGGGGAAGAAGTGTATGTGTACAAAGACGGTTTCATTGTAGCTAAGTGAGTTCTCTGTATTTCTGAGGATTAACGAGGGCTGTTCAAGTAAGCCAGTGCAGAGAGAGCAGGTTTTCCCTCCCATTCGACACAGGGTGGAGCAGTTTTTGCTGTTTTAGTGCCCCTATAGATGTGTGCAGTGGTATGTACATGGGGTGTGTGTGGTTTGTTCTGTAGGGTAAGCTTTGCTCTGGCTCAGGTATAGCAAGGGGACTCCAGCCCTTCTGTTTTTGTTACATTTTCATGGTTAGTGAATTCTGTGCAGGAGAAAAAGGTCAGGTTGAAGGTAAACTTTTTGTTCCTGTACAGAAGGCAAAAATAGTGTTATAGGAACACCAGTAGTGAATGGGGCATATAGAAGATTATGAGTCACTTGATGAGAAACTCACTGACAGAGCCTAAACACTTTGATTAGTTGCCTTATCCATGGTGCCCTGATTAGTTTGAATGGATGCAGCTCACAGATTGTTGCACAATTTATTTTTTTTCTCCCCTTCAGTTAAAACCCCCACGACCATGTGTTTACTGCTCCCACTTGGAAGTTTCTTTGGCTCTTGATTTTTGCAGCTGCTTTGATATTTCAGGCTAGTAAGATGTGAGCTGGGAGGGAGAGAATTTTTTTCTTGTACTTTCAAAGTCTTGATTATGCTTGATTTTTATGGCAGCCTAAGTGAGATTTTGTGCAGATACAATCCCCCTGGCAGCAAGATCTTTTCACATAGTAACTTTTTCTCAAAGTGAATTATAACCTCTTACATGATGGTTTGATACAGATTTCAAGATAATATTAATCTAAGGAACTTATAAGAGGTGCTCCAGAATATGTTAAAAATTTATTTTGTATTTTCAGATTTTAAATTGCATTCTTGAATTCACTTTTTATGTCTGCCTTTGCTGTCTATGACTGCCTTTTGAGCAATTTCATAACTTATAAAATTTGTTGAATGTTTTGGCTGGATGATGCTGCTGATAGAGTAGGCTGCAGTTACAGAGTTGAGATGGGTTTTCTTGCTAGCAAATGCAACCTGATTTTTCCATAAAATCATGAAAGTCTCACGTGAAACAGGGGCAGCAGATAGCCCTGTGAGGGTTTGTTTCAGCAATGATGTCTACACTCTGCTTTTTTCCAGCCTAAGTTAATTCCTGACTGATTTAGGATAATTATTTTAAAAATAATTGTCCTGCT